CATTCCCTGTTATTTTTGCTCAACCTTATCAATTGATTTCTAGCTAGTGTGCACTTATTCTGTGATGCTGAAGTAATCAAGATTTCATCTCTCCTAGGTTCTCAATACTAGTAGAACATTACTTATCTCCGTTATGTTGCCAAACTTCTGAAAACTTGCCTTACCTTTTTTTAGTTCATCAGCAACAGGCCCTAGCATGGTTGAAGTAGGCTGTAAAACAGTGTCCCACAGTCATGCAATTCTTCTTTTCTAGTGATATCTCTGAAATGCTTTTCAGAAATATATTGGCAGCTGAATTAGTCGTTGGATTTGTGCACCAGGTGCCACACTTGGGTTTGAAACTTGCATCACCAGTTCTTAGCTTGTCAGCCACTAGTCCACCACCTAGCATACTTGTAAAACGGTGTTCTTCATTCATGTCGTTCGGTTTTTGTTCTGATATCTATGAGATTCTTGGAATTAGTTGTGTATTCTCTTTGTTTTTTTTTTATGTTGTGGACTAAGTCAACCTAGCAGTATGATTGCATTGCATACTTGTCTTACCGCTATTAACTTATGACTAGCCTTTTTCTGGTCTGAAATCTTTACAACAACAACAACATAGCCTTTCAGTCCCAAGCAAGTTGGGGTAGGCTAGAGTTGAAACCCACCAAGAGCCCCAAGTCACGGTTCAGGCACTTCAATAGCTGCTTAGGCTAGAGTTGAAACCCACCAAGAGCCCTAAGTCACGGTTCAGGCACTTCAATAGCTGCTTTCCAAGTACTCCTATTCAAACATAGATCTCTAGGTATATCCCAAGCTTTCAAATCTCTTTTTATTACCTCCCCCCATGTCAATTTCGGTCTTACTCTACCTCTCCTCATATTATTAGTTTGGCTTAGGACTCCACAATGCACTGGTGCCTCTGGAGATCAACTTTGGACATGGTCAAACCACCTCAACCGATGTTGGGCAAGCTTTTCTTCAATTGGTGCTATCTCTAGGCGATCATGTATATCATCGTTCCGAACTCGGTCCATTCTTGTGTGACTGCAAATCCATCGCAACATACGCATTTCTGCAACATTCAGTTGTTGAACATGTCGAATCTTTGTAGGCCAACATTCTGCTCCATACAACATAGCCGGTCTAATCGTCGTTCTACAGAACTTGCCTTTTAGCTTTTGTGGTACACTCTTGTCACAGAGAATGCCAGAAGCTTGTCGCCACTTGATCCACCCTGCTTTGATTCTATGGTTAACGTCCGCATCAATATCTCCATCCCTCTGTAGCATCGATCCCAGATACCGAAAGGTATCCTTCTTAGGCACTACTTAACCTTCCAAACTCACATCTCCCTCCTCCTGTATAACTCCGCCAAAGTTGCATCTCATGTATTCGGTTTTAGTTCTGTTCAATCTAAAACATTTAGACTCAAGGGTCTGCCGCTATAACTCTAGTTTCCTATTTACTCTCGCCTGGCTTTCGTCCACTAACACTACATCATCAGCGAACAACATACACCAAGGGATATCCCCTCGTATGTTCCTGGTAACCTCATCCATTGGTCTGAAATCTTTGTGTTTCAATTTTCATTGAAGGAATTCCGTCCTCACACGATCTCTTTTCTGATCATTCATTGATGGATGATGAGGGCACTGACCTTTTCAAGTGGGAAAGGTAAGCATAATGATCTAATGAAGCCTCATGCATATTCTGTTAATACAATACTTCTGATCTTTCTGTCGTTCTTGTCAGGCACCCACCAAGTAAGAAAATATCCAACTCAAATAGCACTTTTGGTCCTGCTTGGTCTTTTGACATGGCCGATGATTCAGAGAAAAGACGGAGCCCAATAAGGTGTCAGAGGATCTACTTGTAACTGTGTCTGAATGAGTTCTAGGCTCCTGATTCCTTATTGTTCTTATGTCATGCAAAATTATTAGGAATTTGTTGCTGATCCTTTCCAAATTGTTCTTTGCAGTGAAGAATCATGCACATCTGCTGCAGGTCAGTCATTTTTACTATTGACTTCTTTTATCTCATCAAAGACTAGACTCTAGTCTTTATAGGGTGCATTTCCTAGCGGACCAGCTATTATATATGCAAAAGCTATATCTTGATCTTTCCCCCCTTTTTTGGGATCAAAGCAATGAAGGATAGAACGTGCAAGAAACCATCACCATCAATGAAGAATGAGATGAACGAGAATGATGAGTTTCATATAAGATTCGATAAGCTGGATATTCCAAACATGGATGCACCTCTTCATGGGAGGACACTATTTAACAGTCCAGAAAAGTTGGATAAGAAAGAAACAGCACCTCAGAACAAACTTGAGACAAATTATTGGTCACAAGGTGTTACTGGGCAGCCAAGAACTCGAGAACCAAGCTGTCGCTTATCACTTAATGAGAAATTTTCTGATTGGGATTCTCCTACTTCCCATTTAAAGAGTACCACTGGACTGACTGATCAATCGAGTTGCACCATGATGCGTAAGGATAAATCTTCTTTCAATGCTGCTCCAGATTTGAACATGTATCAAACTGTGGAGTCAACTGAAAAGAGGCCTGCTTCAAAAGTTCATTCTATTTATCATGGACCTGAGAAGCCTATTTTTGAAGATGAAATTCACATGCAGCAGCCTGTTTCAGATATGTTTCATGATAAAATTGAATTATCAAACCTGTTTCAGACCAAGAATCTCCACAGTGACATTGATATGAGCACTTTCTTTGGACAGAAGGTGGAGAAGAAGCAAGAAGATAAATTTCCAAGTGCAGACACCTTCCATGCAGTGAAAGCAGCGAATTCTGTAAGACAAGCTGTCGATCGAGACAGTACATGCTCACAGCCTTCTGGCAGGGATTCATTCAGGCACGGGTTCAGTCCTGGTTTCAAATTCCAGGAGTCAGAACCAAACACGTTTTGGGCGGATAGCTATGTTTGCAATGGCACTTTTCAGGCTGGTCTTGAGTTCAGTGGTGTGCTTGCAAGAAAAGATAGTGATAAGAATGAAGTCAAGATTGAGGCGTCTGAGAAACCAGATACTAAGATATTGACAGAAACATGTCGGTTCTCTGCAGATCACAGGAATGAGATTAATGGGACTGAAACATGTTCTGATGGCTTAGAAGCGTTCAATTGTTCTGAAGCACAGAAGAAAACTTCAGCAGCAGCAACACAAATTCCTGCAAACTTAAGCTGTCTTCAAGGAACCTCAGCAGAATTGTTCCAAGTTCGTAATCATGTCATACCTGTAAAGAGGGAAAAGATGTAAGTAGTGTGCCCCTCAATTGTCATTCTTCTAAAGTGTTGTTTGTTTCATATATTTACTGGAGTTTCTCTCATTGTCCATCACTAGAGATAATCCTGGTGTTAGCTTCGATGCTACAATGCATTCGAGAAACAAGATTCACGATGTTGGAGATCATTCTAAACTAAATGCTATGTTCCAGTCTCCTTTCATTGGAGGTTCGTCGTTCATTCCCCAATTGCTTCTTCTCTTTCGTATGTCAACTCAAATCAAAAAGGAAAAAACAACCACCATGTGATTAATATGTTTGCTGCTATTTAGAGGAGATGGGGATTGAGAAGAAGATCGTAGCGAGCGTGTCACCTGACAACAGTGATGTTCAGTATCAGTTTATGCTTGAGCAACGTGTTCTCCGGCGGCTTTGTGTTCAGAAGATAGTGGTGCCTACACCGATGAAGGACAAGCTAGATAAGGTAATATAGTCTAGACCAGTCAGGTCGTCATAATTCTGTATTGCTTGCCCCCACACACACACACACACCACCTCACCCCCTAGTTTTTGAAACCTGTCCTAAGGGAAAATGCTATTTTGTTGCGTCATTTTGAAAATGGTAGGAATTCCAAAAGATACTTTGGTGCGTGCAACTTCATTTGGTGCATAATTTGTGGTAACTTATCAAATGCTGTTGCCAGCCTTTTATTATGAATATTATATTCTGCTAGCACTCCTCCACATTATTAAGTTCAGATATGCTTTTTATACAGGATGCAAAGTTTAGGATAGTGGAGGATGGATCTCACGTCCTTGCAAAAAGCGTCTAACAGGTAAACAGCAAGAATGAACTTTCCATTTTCAGTCTTCTCGTGTTTAAAATGGCTTGAGCGTGAGTGATGAAATCAGAAATTAAAGTTTATACACCATTTATTCATGTAGATTCACATCAGGGCATCAGGGGAAGGAAATGACAACGTAGGGAAGGAACTCATTTCACGCACACGAAGTGCAGGAGCAAGCACTTACATGCGTCTAAGGAGTTCCTCCGTGTCCATACGCTCATTTAAGGGCACCTCGCTCTTTTGTAGTGTCTGTTTGAAAATAATAAATTTTTCTTCACCCATTATTTTTTTAGTGTTGGTACCATAATCTCGCTTCATTGTATGCCTGTGGAAATCTGGATTTGCGAATTATTGGTTGTTAGTGATTCTGGGAGGGCCATCTGATGGTATACAATGCTAATCTATTAGACTTACCTTTTCTATTCTGAACCCCAACTCTCACCATTGACAGGCCCCTGCTATGCCAACCCTTTTAAAAAGAAAAAAAAAAGGTAACCATTTTGTTTTATATATAACCATGTTGAAAACGACTGAATTGGTATTGTAAATAAATGCACACAAAACCAGACCGGTAGACTGAGAATAATGGTTGGCATTCAAACTCTAGAACGGTCATTACGTGTAGCTGTGTTTTAACAATCTGTATTGGTTACATTTGGGTGGCTTTGCGTTCTGCTTGTTTGGCCCGGCTCTACGTTACGGCTTCTCATCTGCAGACTCCAACTACGCGCCAGGTGGCGATAAGACCTTATCCTGTGCGGCCACTTGGCGCGAGGGTGGCCACCCACGTCAGACGAGCGGGCTGACCTGGCGCCCCTCCAGCTCATCCTATCTACTCATATCTGCGTCCCTCTCCCCCGCCCCACCCGCTCCTGCCATCACACATCCGCAGACACCCCAGAGCAAGCGCCTGAGCTCAAGACCCATGGCCACCCCCGCCGTCGCGGCGTCTCTGTCCGTGGCCCAGGGGCTCGGGAAGCCCCTCTGCGCCGGCAGCAACGCGTCGTCGCTCCGGGTCGTCGCGCCCCGTCAGTCGGCCAGGAGGATGGCCGTCGTCCGGGCGTCCGCGCAGAAGCAGCACCCGGCCAAGGAGTGGGCGGCCGCGGCTGCCGTGGCGGCGGCGCTGGTGCTGCCGGAGGTCGCGGAGGCCGCGCCGGGGATCTCGCCGTCGCTCAAGAACTTCCTCCTCAGCATTGTCTCCGGCGGGGTCGTGCTCGTCGCCATCGTTGGCGCCGTCGTCGCCGTCTCTAACTTCGATCCCGTCAAGCGGGGCTGATCGAGCTCAACTACATGCATCGCTGTGTGTTCGTGTACCCTATGTACTGAGATCTCTTCCACCATGTAAACAGTGCTTAATATAGCGTGAATCTTTTGCCGTGTAAATTTCATTTCATGCTCGCATAGCCATCATCTGTATGAGACAGATTCAACAGCACATTCGGTTTCTGATTATCTTCGTACATATTTTGCTCCAGCAACATTTTCGATATTCGGTCGGTTCATGTCAGATTCTCCTACTTCCCATTTAAAGTGTCACTGGACTAACTGATCAATAGAGTTGCACCATGATGCATTAAGGATAAACCTTCTTTCAATGCTGCTCGAGATTTGAGCATGTATCCAACTGTGGAGTCAGCTGAAAAGAGGCCTGCTTCAAAAGTTCGTTCTATTTATCAGGGACCTAAGAATCCTGTTTCTGAAGATGAAATTCACATGCAGCACCTGTTTCAGATATGTTTGGCAGTAAAATTGAATTATCGAACCCATTTCAGACCAAGAATCTTCAGAGTGACATTGATATGAGCATTTTCTTTGGACAGAAGGTGGACAAGAAGCAAGAAGATAAATTTCCAAGTTTCAGCAGTCCAAGTTCAGACACCTTCCCTGCAGAGAAAGCAGCGAGTTCTGTAAGACAAACTGGCGATCGACACGGTAAAGTTTCGGGGGAATGAAATGACAATGTAGGGAAGGAACTCATTTCACGCCCGCAAAAGGCAGGAGCAAGCACTTACATGCGTCTAAGGAGTTCTTCTGTGTCCATACGATCATTTAAGGGCACCTCGCTCTTTTTTAGTGTCTGTTTGTAAATATTAGTGTTTACTTTAACCATTAGTTTTTTTAGTGCTGGTCTTTGCCATAATCTCGCCTTGTTATATGCCTGTGGAAATCTGGATTTGTGAATTAGTATTGGTTGTTAGTGATTCTGGGAGGATCATCTGATGTCGAATAATGCTAATCTATTAGACTTCTGAATATTGTAAGTAAACTTCGTCAAAAGCTACAGAAATGTAGCAATTAGATTCACCGGACCTTTTGTGCCCTGAACTTCAACTCTCAGATCCCTGCTATGGCAACCCTTTTTTAATAGAAATGTTGAAAACCAATTTATTTTATATAAATATATAACCATGTTGAAAACCACTGAATTGGTATGGCAAATGCACAATGTCTGCAGCTCACAATATATTTAATGCCCACTAATTTATGTAAAGATTCTTCTCAAATATCCACAAAGCAAATTACGAGTCTAATCCATTGGAGAATCTAAAATTCTACGCCGGCGCGGCTACTGGCTAGATCTACTTCTTGTTGCTGGAGTTTTTGGCCTTTTGTTCTTGCAATCCTTCCTAGGCTAGTCTCTATGCATATTATACGCAAAAAATTTGGATTCTTTGTGATGCTCTGTATATAGGGCCTTTAGATAGACATATAACTTTAAGGCCTTTCAAACTTGAACCTGAACCTAGTCAAGTTGGAAAGGCCATAAAATTATGCTTATTTTCTTTTTAGAGAGAGCTAGGGTATTTGGCAAATATTATCGTTTCAGAATGGTTGAGATGCAACGGATTGTTTTAGATTTTAGGACCATGGTATTGTTAAAGCCATAATATTTTGGAATTTTAGAAACGTCACTGGCTTATAAACTACATTATTCATGGTACCATAGTTTTCTAACACCAAAACATACCCTTATTTATTACTCCCACATTTGTGTAAATATTAAATTCTATTAAAGGTAAGAAGCTCTTCAAATCTTTTTTGTGTTTATTAAAAGCTAAATATTTAGAGATTACTAAGAGCAACTTCAAGAGTCTCTTAAAATTCTTCTTAATTGATAGGAATAGATATTTTGGTAAATAAAAAAACCCCAACAGTTTTTAATAAAGATATCTAAATATTGTCATTCTCTAATTCTTGATTTCTCGCTAGCCAGAGATAAAGAGCGGACATGGCTCTGTAGAGTGTACAAAAGATATAGAGAAGATAGGTTGAAGGGTGAAAAGATATAAAAGACTAGTTTTATTCAAATGGCTCTTCAAATGTTGAGATAGTGAATTTAAAAAAAAGGCGCTTGAAGATGCTCTAAGATCAACTCCAATAAAAGAATCTTTATATCCTTCCTAATTGATAGAAGTAAATATTTTCATAAAAAATATCCTCCAACAGCTGGATTTCTCTCGAGCAAAAGATGGAGAGCAAGACTGGCTCTCTAGAGTGATGCGCACAAGATATAGAAAAGCTATTGAAAACTAAAAAGATATAGAGAACGATTTTTATTTAAATGGCTCTCCAATTGATTTAGAGAGTGAGTTTCAGACATGATCTTGGAGATGCTCTAATAGTTTAAGGCTCCAAGCTTTAAAAGTATGCTGGATTTTAGTTAAGAGCAATTTCAAAAGACTCTTTATATCCTTTCTAATTGATAGAAATAGAGATTTTGGTGGGAAAAAAAATTCCTACAACAGCTCTTTTATCCGAGTATTGTCATTCTCTATTCTAGATTTCTCAATAGTCAACGATAGAGAGCAAAAATGGCTCCGTATAGTGTGCACCGGATATAGAGAAGCCGTTGGTTGATGGAAAGATATAGAAAGACTCTCGTAGATGCTCTAAAAAGTAGGCCAAGTATTCATGACTAATTAAGGAGCAGTCTACGTTCCATAATCCCTCGAACTAAACCGTACCTAAACGTGGCGTGGATACGTGGATTGCATATCCATTTGATCTGCCCCGGAGATCACGGCATGGATCTACTCCATCTATTGGAGCGCTGTTGATATGGACGGCTGCGACGATAGCTTCTTCAAGAATCCAGAAGTCGTGCGCCTAACTAACTGCCTACCAAAGACTCGAGAAAAAAGCACTGCTCGTTGTCGTCGTCGCGAACAGGCCCTAACTGGCCATTGCTGCTGCCCTGCTGACGCCATAACGAGCTGAATAATTCCCATGAAACGACAACGATAGATCTCCTCCCATGCATTATGCATGGGTGATTCGCATATATAGTTTAGGGAGACAATGTCGGCAGCAACGAAGGAGGAGCTGAAAACAGAGAGGCCCAATGGCATGCGCTATGAAGGAGGAGTTGGAAACAGAGGACCCATTTGCCGTGCATGATGCATGGCGTCCTCGATCGCATCCGTGTCGGATGAAAGCCACCTGATTCTCTGTCCGTCGCTTGGTTGGTTATGTTTAGGGGTGAAAACGGTACGGATATTTTCCGACCGTATTCGAGACCGAATCTGTTTAGAGAAGTTTAAATCTGTCCGTATCCGAGTCCGGATATTCAACATCCGATACCGTATTCATATCCGAATAATCAAATCGTATATTTATGATGTCGATATCCAATCATATCCTATCCATCATGGTTGATAATATCCGTATTCGAATCCGAATTCAGACAGAAATATGAAAACAAATGTAATATCAGTGATATCCGTTCGTATCCGATCCGTTTTCATCCATAGTTATGTTGCAAATCAAGTGTTGGTTGGCACTTGGCTTGGGAGCTGTGCAGAGAGTCAACAGTCCATACGAAGGCATGCAAAGAAGACAACATCTCCCAGAATTGAAGGCCAGCAGACTCAGCGGCCTGAGACTTGCATTGAATGGTTTCACTTTCACCGTTTCAGCGTCAGGGGTTGGTCACAGGCGAAGTTTTTCTTGTTTCTTCCGTATCCATTACCAGGCTTAGAGGAAGGCAGAAGGCTCCAGGTGACGTCGGATGAAGGATTAACTGTTTCTACACCATCACTATGGCAGCAATCTATCAAAGAGAAAACTCTCCTTGATTGTCATAAGTACATTTCAAGTGCGCTACAGATGAAGGAACTGTTTTAGTTGGCTCGTCCCTGGCCGAAACTGCCACCACACGTCCGATTTGGGACGGGTGTGCATGGTTGGGATCTTTGCCGTCGAACGTCGTGGCAGGCGCCAACCCGAGTACGTCCTGATTGAATGCATACACATATTCTCCGGCCCCAAAGTTTTTACCGACGAAGACTGTAGATGCGTACCTCTATATTATCTAGAGTAAAAACGAAAAGCAGAAGGCAACGAAAAAACCTTTCGGTTTGGAAAGGACGGCGGCCATAAAGCTCACCAAATATAGGCTGTGTTTAGTATGCGAATTTTGGGAATTCGGATACCGTAGTACTTTCGTTTTTATTTTAGTAATTAGTGTTCAATCATGGACTAATTATACTCAAAACGTTCGTATCGCAATTTTCAACCGGTCTGTAATTTGTTTTTTTATACATTTAATGCCTTTTGTGAGATTGATGTGCATCTCAGACTTTTTGGGAAACTTTTTATGAACTAAACAAGCCCCACAAAAATTTGGTGCTGCTTAAGCCCCCTTTGGCACGGCTCATCCAAAACGGCTTCACCGGTGAAGCCAAAGCCGATGAAGCCAGAAAAACTGGCTTTTCCCGGCTTCTAGTTCATTTTAACCCCGGCTTACAAAACGGCTTCACACTACAGTGCCTCGATTTACGTAAAATAGACGAAACCAAAGCCGACATAAGCCATGCCAAAGAGACCCTTAGTCTCCATTTTTGTAGTCGTCTACGGAGTAAACCCTAGCCTCGCCAGTAGAGTAGGCATGGCTGCTGGCTGCTGCTGCCACCGGCCACCCTACCGGTCTACCACTGATGAAGGGATGCATCTCTCATATTCAGTGGAGGATGGACAGGAACAGGATCAGGATCCGGACGGCCTGTGTTGAATTCGAATATAAATCTATCTATATCCCTGCATTATTATATGAGTATGTTAATTGAAGAGATTGCTCCTCCAGTCCAGACCTCCACGGCTCCACTAGCTACGATGACACTGCGAGTGTGCGTCAGTGTAGATTATTGTAGACGCTGGACCGACGGCGACGAGACGGAGCGAGGAGAACTGAAGTACGCGCGCGTCGTCGCCATCATCCATGCATACTAGTATGCTGCATATGAACCTCTGCATGCCGATCGAGTGGAGCACGCAGGA